AACCAGCCTACGCTGAATTGGGTGGCCTGGTAAAATATTGCTCATAAATAAATAAATAAATAAATAAATAAATTTTAGAAATTTGATTTGTTTTTGATGAACATTTTAGGATCGTTTAAATATCAATGAGACACAGTCTAATAAAGTTTTTAAAAATTTGAGTCTCCTTTAGCGGCCGCCCCTGCGTAATCACACAGCGCAGTCCTGATATAATAATAATGAGACATGTTTTCTTTTGTGCAATGCTATCTTTGAAGAATCGTACTAAACTATTGTCACATCGGAGATCTATGACATTAAACATCCAGTCGTGCTCTGACAAATTTGACGATCGACTTGACAATATAAGTTAAGTTTGACAATATAACTAAGTTTGGTATCTCTTACAGAATTAAAAAGACTTGGAAAGGATAGCAGAACAATCAAAACAAAGTATGGTGACATCTGGGACCTTTTTTGGAGTGACTATGACAGAAAAAGACAACAAGAAGTCGCTTTAGCAATAAAACGTTATTTCTAAAGTTAAACTTCCTCAAGTCATGCAACTGAGTCCTCGCATGATGTGGGTTRATCTGCAACATGCTGGATATATTATCAGAGTCTACAGTCTCTTCTATGCACCTACCAACTGTCCTAGCATCACTGGAAATGAAGCTGCACGTTCCGATTTTTGGAGAAAATTAGACAAAAAGTAGACCAGGTCCCTAAAAACACTGAGCAGTTATTCCTGGGGGATCTAAATGCCACCACTAATTTAGTGAAAGAACAACCCACCAACTTTGGACGAAATAAGATGTACACGTCATACTTTGAATGCAACAAAAATGGTGAAGCTATGATTTCCTTTTGTATTAGAAATGGTCTTGCTATTTTGAATACCTTTTTTCAACACAAGTCTGTGCACCTAATTACTCATCATAGTAATAATGGACGTACTACATCCTAGACTGTAGAGTCAAAAACAACTACTTGAATGCAACAACACTCAACACTGATCACARATGTTTGATTCAAAGATGTGTAAACGCGACCGATATAAGAGAAAGTCCAGTAAGGTTAAATTGTCCCCTAATTACAGTGAGCTAAAAAATCCAGAGATTCAAAGCCAATTTACACTTGGCATCAACAAAATAAAGAACCTAAATAAATTATATCCCGTCCAGCCATTGACCAACAGGCTGCTATTATTACCGATGAGTTAAATGAACAAGCAAAGAAAGTGCTTCCCATAAGATGGTCTATCAAGCAAAATCTTCCATGGCGCAATGACAGTAAATTAGAAACCTCAAAAGACAGCGAAGTAAACTCAATCACTAGAATGAGAAAGAACATTTTAGGAACATATATTCAAACTAATCAAAAAACGATCTAATGAACTGAACAGGCAATTCTACCAAGACAAAGCAGACACGATAAATCATGCCTCAATTAATAGAGACTTAGAAAAGCTGTTCAGAAATGCTAAMAATTATGGTGCTTTCAATAAAAAAGTAACAATCCCAACCCAATCCATCAAATTGAAAGAGCATTTTCAATTGCATTKCAACAAAGAACCACCTGAACAAGTACCAAAGRAACTTTCTAAACTACCAGAATTTATAACAGCCAGTTTGCAACACATCCATACTGCAAATATTGATGGCGACGTTCCAACGGAATTAGAAGTAAAATCCATTGCTAAAACTTAAATTGAGTAAATCTACTACTGACACTCCAGCAGAGGTTCTTCATAATATTGCATCAGACCCCGAGGTATTAACAGCACTAACCAACATGTATAAGGACRTCTGGGAGCAAAAACGACTACCCAATAGTTGGTAGTATACGCGTCTAAAAGCTCTATTCAAGAACAAAGGCTCGACAAAAGACTTTTCAAGCTATCGTTGGATCTCAGTGAGTTCAACCCTACTAAATGTATTGTGCATGATCATCCTTAACCGAATTAGTGACTGGTATGATGATAATCTTCTAGAGGGACAGTATGGTTTTAGACCTAAAAGAGGCTGTCAAGATGCTATCTACTGCCTGAAAAGAATGCTGTTGCATTCGAAAAGAACTAACCCCTTTTTGTCTGCTTTATTGACTTGAAAGCCGCCTTCGACTGGGTGCCACGTAAATGAATGTTTACTAGTATCAAGATCAGAAACGTAGTTGCATTCGAAAAGAACTAACCCCTTTTTGTCTGCTTTATTGACTTGAAAGCCGCCTTCGACTGGGTGCCACGTAAATGAATGTTTACTAGTATCAAGATCAGAAACGTATCTAACAACCAGGATCTTAAAGTATTAAGTAATGGTCCGAGTAAGAAGCAGGCAAGCAAACGGCAATGGAATGCATGAAGGTGCTAATTGTGTATTGTATAATCCATCCATCTCATTGGTTAAAACATTAAAATTTGACATAATTTCAAAAGTAATCGCATTTGTTAATATTTTATTTAATATCTGATTATAACTTTATAAAAGCTTTCCTTAGCTTTAATATTAATAGGAATTCTATGTGGGGAACATAGCAAATTAGAAGCATCTTTTGGCTATTGTTTTGAGTGCTTATGATTGGACAAGATATTTTAATACAAAAGAAACTTTGTTTCAAAACAGAGTTTATCCACATTTTATTTTAAAAATGTGTTACACATAGGTTGATATATAATCAGTGTGAAAACCAAGACATTCGTATGTGGGGAAGTTGCAATTGCCGCAGAACAATAGAAGGTTGCCTGCTTTTTGCGCGCATTGTTACTTAATCGATCTACTTGAATCTATCTATGCTGAAACATACAGTTATATGGATGGAGAAAATCTGAACGCAGCATTTCGAACCACCAGCGGAGTACGCCAAGGAGGCTGTGAAAGCCCTTAACTGCTTCAATCTATACTTGGACTTCATCCTCAGAATTTTTGATGATGAATGCCAAAGTGAAAGAGTTGGAATAAATTACAGAATTCCTAATGAGGCAACTAATAGAATGCAGCATTCCCAGGAGAAAAGCTATGGAACTCTTCACTTACTATGGTTAGGCTTTGCTGATGATTTGGCTATTTTAGCTTAGTCAGTAAAGGATCTTCAAAAATCAATAGAGATCCTACAGTCAGTATGCAATAAATTTGGCCTGATGTTGAGCTTAGTAAAARCCAAAACAATGATAATGACGAATATGCTAACCCCCCTCAAYGAGGCTCTTTCATTAGATGAATATCAATCTTTTGACATGGCGTATTGTCTTACAAACGATCAAATTTACAAGTATAGAGGAGCAATTCCATTACTCCATTTTGTACATAAGCAACAACTGAATTGGTTTTCACATCATACGATCACCAAACATTAGCTATATTAAGAAGTTGACTTTTTCTGATGAAAAGAACACAAGATGTGGCCAGCCATTACAGACTCTGGAACGATCTATCTACAAACGCTACCCTTTCAAAGAAAAATCCATCATGAGAAAAGCTTGCTTCAATAGATGTAACTCTCTCTTCAATATTGGATAGTTCTTGTTTACTCAAGTAGAGTAACACTTAAATGTTATTCACAGAATGGCGAAGAAGGAATTGATTGATTGATTGATTGATTGAAATGTGAGAAGTTACCACTGACTTGTTAAGTGATATCAGCCTAAAACAATATTATGAAGCAGAAATAACAGTAATACTTACATTCCACTTTACAAGAAAACTTGTTTTAGTTTTGTTGGTAAGATATGGAACAGAAGGAGTGTCTGGTGCTGTACTAGGTATCTGTATATGTGCTTCTGGTGAAAATTCTCCTTTTATTTTACCCTTTACAGCACAAACTCTGTAAAATTCACAAATTACAATTATTTGTTTATTTGTTACTGACATGTACATATATACTGATGTTGATGTGGCAATTATATGACATATATTAAAGTGATACCTGAATTTGTATGTTGCACCAGGTTTTAATTCACCTTTATTCATCTCTGTATCTATTCCACTAATTAAAAATATAACGATTTATATTTAATACACAGTCAATTGATAAAATTCTGGTCACTAACTGCTATACCAATATACAATCAAATTGATTGTAATATATAAAACATAATGTTAAAAGATAGACATATATAATGAATCCTTTCATGGTGAAAATAGGACAAACAAACACGGCTTTTTTCACAGAATGTTTACATCACTACAAACATTCCAAACATATTTTAGGTCATCAAGGTTTTATTGAATCAACCRTAATTGGTCATAGCTGCAGATCTTTGAATACATGTAACCTTCAATATAAATTATTTGAAAAGAGCAAAAATCACATGATGACATTACCCATGATGCACCCAATATATATTATGTTATATAATGCAGATATACAGCCTTTTGCAAAAATTATGAGAATTGTCTAAATATCTAAATATCATAATATCCATATCCACATATTGTCCGGAACACGCGGGTTTGCTAGAATAATTCATTGTTGACATCGAGAAAATGTTCAGAACTACGGATAAGTCTGTCGCCAAAAAAAACTAAACTACAAAGACAAGGGACTAAGGGCATCGCGCGGAATTACCCATCATGCACTCGATATTATGATATTTAGATATTTCAACAATTCTCATAATTTCTGCAAAAGGCTGTAATGTTAGCAGTTGGAAGTCTTGCAAACAACTGTTACATAAACATAGTTTTTTACAGTGTTTTGCAAAAATATTTYTGCAAAAATGAACAATATCTATAAACCAAACCACTGGTCAAATCAGTGTGAATAAAAAAAATTGAATACATTATATATTGAATTTTTTATTGTGGGCTTCTTTTTTTGCATAATTTATTAGCTCTCACTGTACCTATTTAACTTTTTTATAAATTTTAAGATTATTTTCACTCCATTGTCAAATTGTGTTTTCTTGAAATGGGTAAAAATTCCAATGGCATCATACAAACCTGTAAATATTATTATAATTTGCATTTTTGGCTGCCATTTGAAGTGCAAATGTACAGTTTGACAAGTGGCTATTGTTGCTGATATGTGCAGACCAAGAAATCTTTACACTTGTACCACCAATGAGCTCAATCTGAATAATTGATCCATTCTTTATGTTAAATATCCTCAAAAGCAGTGAAAAATCATTAATTATAATAAATAATATCTATATTATATAATTTTGACTATTTGAGGAGTCCTTTTATATGGACAGACTTAACTTTACCTACCATACACAATGCACAACAAAGCTCAGTATACACAATGCACGAAGCTCAGTAAGTACGTTTCTCACTGCTGTGATGGTTTTATGGTAAATTTATACAGCTATAATTTCAAAAATCAAGCTGCCAAAGAGAACAGTGATTGGTTAATTGTTGAACAGTGATGAAATTACTTACATCAGGTCCTTTTTGGATTCTGAGATCCTCAACTTTTGTTTTTTCTGTTAACAAAAGCATGAAATAATTATAATTCTTAAAAGGAGGTAATGAATAATACATGGCAAAATCATAATAAGCATAGTATATTTAAGCTCAACTAGGGAAGAAATATTGGAGGGGGACGATTTATCAMTCACTCACTCACTTCCTGTAAACTTTTAAACATAGTAGCTGAAAAAAAAATCGCAGGCTCTCAAAATCCGCTGAAAATCTAATGCTGCAGGTASAGTCGAACCTCTATTAAGCGGTCAAACTCGGGAAAARCCAAGTGACCKYTTAATAGARGTTGCCTAGAATTTAGCTTTTTACGTGACAAAAAAAATAAAATTACGAAACTCATCACATAATGTAGTGTTAAGGAATATAAATGCTAAATACAAGGTTGATAGTTATATTTTATAAAATAAATATACTGTACACAGTAAGTACAGTAGAATACAATACAGTACCGCATGTACAAATTTACATACACAGAWTAATGTACAGTTAATGAAAGAATTCGTCTATTCGTACTTTGAAGCTTTATTTGGCGAAGTAAACCCTAACTTGACTTAGCATCATTGACAAATTCGTCGCGTACTCTGGTTAATGCAACTACAGAATTACAATRTTAAACTGACGTTTTTCATTTCATGTTTTTGTAATATTTTTCGCGTTCCCTGCTGATTTTAATCCTGATTACAGGAGGTGACCGTTTAATAAAGGCAAATAGCAATGAAAATGYGCAGTTGGGAAAGTCAAAAGGGTGACCACGTCCGCTTAATAGAGGTGACCGTTTAATAGAGGTCAAGTTTACAGTAAATGAGTTAAATTTCRGGAAGTTGATAGGTGAACCCCTGATAGAGGGTGACCACTTAATAGAGGGCCGCTTAAAAGAGGTTCGACTGTATATGCACAGAGTATGRCACAGATGCCAAAGGGAGAATTAAAGRCTCTGAAATTCATTTAAAGAAGCAATACAACAAAAAAGCCATAACTCTTTCTGACAATGACACCCTAAAAGAGACATTGCAAAGAACTTATAAAAGTGACCACACCCATAGKYTTTGAAAATTCAAAAAATGTCYGTCATGATTGTAAACGTCTAGTTAGTAGTAATCATTTACATGTATCTTCATACAGTACATGGTTTTCTTGGTGTGCATGAAGAGGATTTATACTGTAGTCTGAGCATTTGAGGATGTTCATGCTAGCTGGGCATACAGAAACTATAGCAGTCTTTCTCTTCTTGAGGCCTAAGAAAGATGCCCTGGCACTTTAAACAGAATTGAAAGTAACAGAGGCTTGAAATGAAACAAAATGGGAAAAGGGCCAACTTTCCTCCAGCACAATCAAGAAAAGCATTGTAAGTTGTGAAGTCACAAGAGCCAAATGACTTATTGAACAAATGTTAGGAAATGATCGAATCAGGTATTGATAACTACAAAATACTAGCCTGCATATATAGCAGCCCTAAAAGGATGGGAGGACCGAGCGGAGAATGGGGAAGAGAAAAAGGAAGGGTCTGCAAGAGAACCCCACAGTTTTACAAAATTTGCAGTGGAATACGGACGTAAATTTCCCATTGGTGGAGAGGAACAAGCTGTCAATCAAATGTCAAAGTGATAGATACCAGATCAAGTTGGCATATTTACCAACATGGTAGGCGATGAAGAAGGATTTCATAATCAGTTAGAGCTTGCTTTAAGTGATTTAAAAGAAACAGGTTTCAATATAATACTCAAAGAAAAACAGAGAGAAGCTTTGGCCTGGACTTTTTAGAAGAACCGCTGGAAGAACCGTTACTAGTATCGGGACTGCTTTTGCCAGAACTTACAAGAATTTACAAAATATATTTGCCATCTAGCACAAGGAAGACAATATAATTTGAGACAAATGTTAAATGTTATCTTTAACAACCAACTCTTCAAAGATGATCGGCAAATACAGTAAATAAACTGAAACACTTGACCTTGCGACCTCAAATTGACAGCGCTTCGGTTTATTTTGACAACTGTTGAGTTAGATTTGCCAGGCTTTTGATTTAATAATTAGGGGGCGTTTTGTAAAACTGTGGGGCTCTCTTGCAGGCCCTTCCTTTTTCTCCTCCCCATTTTCCGCACGGCCCTCCCCAATCCCTTTAGGGCCACTACGCAGGCTACAAAATACATCTAAGATCATCAAAAAACATCTCCCCCTCGTCATATCAAGCAATTTACACAAATTCTGCTCCTTCAAAACCTGTACTCATAAATCTAATCTCTGCTAGTCACCAAGTGCCAGATCACACACACAGCCAAAAGCACAGCATAGCATCTCTAATCATGACACCTTTGTGAAACAAAGACCCTTTAGTTGTTAAACTCATTAAGCAGGCAAATAAAAAAATATGCTAGGAACCCTTGGATTTCAATGTTCCTAAGGAGCCTCACGTTTTTTTAGGTGTTGTTATTCAAATCAAAGAGAAAGACATCACTATTGCATATGAACTGAGCAAAACCAACACTATCATTGTAATTGAAATGGCATAAAGGTATACTTATTTTGGTCCAAGTCTGGTAAAATTACAACCAAAGTTTTGTTTGACTGTCAGCTGCAGTAAAAACAAGATGCTGAGCATTTAGGGATAAATTGTCTGTGATTAAACAAACTGTGTTAAATGTTAACATTACTGTTAATTAAAAATAATGAAGGTAGTTCAGTGCAATTTTTATCTTTAAAAACACATTCCATTATTACAGATTATGACACTAAAAATTCTTAGATATCTCATAATTGCCTTATAAATTCCTGTTCAAATTTAGACATATGTTTGATATCCCTAAAATGAGCAATATAAAAGAATAAAAAAGATAGGTCACCACATTCATCACTGTAGCACCTCAAAAATGATTTAATTACAGCCATTTCCTAAAAGTAATATATTGTGCCCTAGGCAAGCCAGTGCAGGAGAGCATGCACAATGCAATAATTTGGAATGGTTTTAGAATAGTTTGTTTCTTCTTCAGTAGAGTACAAACACTAAAACTGTACAACATAAATATCACTAAATTATGCTAATTCTATTGTTTTCTATTGTGTAATTATCACTATTTTGTAATAAATAGTGTAAAGTTTTGCACGCTTTTAGTGTTCTACCAAGAGTAACTAATGATATCTGAGCAATTCTTAGCATCCACCTAGCATCACCTTATACGTTAACATAACATAATTTTAAAGATGTAGGTATCCTCCTGGAGCCTTCACTAAGTCTCCAAAGATAATCAGTCAGTCATTTGTTATAACTATGCTAGGATTACATGCACTCCATATCATGATGCTTGAAGTAAGTTGACATTACGTCAAATCAGAAGAATATTAAAATCACTATTTAAACGGTGGGGAAATTATATAACTCCCAGAAATGAAGACTCTGATTTCAAACAACAAAATGAAAATACCTGCATTTTATACCTCCTACTTGAACTTTGGTCTTGGAACATATCTCTCGACGAAAATCAGCCATTTAAGACTTACTTAAGTTAAGCTTAATACTTCTCATAAGTATGTAAATAATGTCATGACAGCATGACATAAAATCCCTTTTCAATGTGAATGATATTAAATTGTGTATGTTTTTCGATAGATTACTGAAGTATTAGCTGAGGAAYATGTTTCATATAAGATAATAGAAAAAAAAATTCACGAAAAACGAAAAAAATCCTSGAATTTTAAGACTAAGATTTCCGATTCTGTTACCGAGCATTATATAATGTTATATAAGCTTACAGGGAAAAAAAGAGGGAAAAGATGAAAATACAAAGAAGTTACATTTCTTACCTTCTTCGATGGACAAATAATCATCTTCCAGTGAGTGTCTGTCTGAATTTGTCGACAGTTTGTCCTCGCGAATCTGACTCAACCCCTGAACTGGAATTTCTATAAAAATCTGATGACAGTGATTACCACAGTCGTCCTCGTCGACTTTGTTTGAGCTTCCTTTTCGTTCTTTCAACTTTTTTTGAAGTTTTTCTCGTCGTTTTTCCAGTCTTTCGTCGCCGGAGTTTTGTCGKTGAAGATCATTTGAACCATTAACTTCATCATTTCGGCAATTGTGGCATAGCTCAAAATTTAACCGACTTAAAACTTCGTCGAGTTTCCCGGCGATTTCGTTGTATCCACTACCGTTACTCTGGAATAAAATTGCCTGGCCTGTTTCTGGATCTACAAGCTTGATTACCTTGGGTAAAGGCGTTCCATTTTCGGGAAAACTTAGGCAAATTGTTTCTCCAGAGTTAGTATGCAAGTCAACTCTCCTTCCTTCCTCTTCCTTAACAAGCGAAGTTTTCATGTCCGCTGACATTTTCCTTGGCACCGTTTACTTTAGGTTCGAAGAAAATTATCTTTTTCTTTCCTCAGAAACGTAACAATAATGAATTCAAGGTTGAAGTAAATGAAATGTCTGAGCTCGTCTTARAGAGTTGTCTGATTACTTGAATTTTTGGTTTGGCCTTCCCATAAATCGCGCGTGAAGCCTCATTTTCTTCGGATGAAATTTCCCAAAAAGGGCCAAGTATATCCAAGTGCTTTTTTATCGTTAATTCTGAATTAAATGGTGGCGAGTTAAGTGTAGTAAATGTAGAAATCCCTTGAAGAGTTCAAAACCAGCTGGAACCACAATCCTCTTTCCACGTATGGTTCTTTTTGTTGTTCTTACAGTTGCAAGACCGCTATACAGTTTACCAGCGGGCTCACTTAAACGAAAAACAGGCACAGGTGCCCCAGTTTTAACTCGAAGATTGCGAAGCAATCGAAGAGTTATTGGAGGGGTACGAATCTGTCACTCACTCAATCACTCAATCACTCAGTCACTCACTTTCCTGTAAACTTGAGCCTGCGTTACTTGTGTTCAGAACTATTAATTTATTCTCATTGTTCTCTAGTAATTTATTCATTAATATACAGTTACCGGGTTCCCTGTTCTATATTTGATTGAATTTATTTATTTTTTGGCAAAGAAAGAAATCTAAAAAATGTCAGCTCCTCTGATTCTTGAATCTCAGACCTCTGAATTAGAAATCGAAGGCACTTCCACTCGGCCACGCGTACCAATGTCAATATAATTGCGGTTAGACTTGTCTTTGAAGTGCAGGTGCTCGCTCCTGGTTGTTAAGAATCAAAGTTAAAAATAATTATAATTTAACGAAAAACAAAATTGTATTCAGACAAGAATCCCTATTTTAGTATGGTCTTTCATGTGGTGAGGTTCAGTTTTAGACAAATATAGTATTTTCGCACTCGTTCCCAGTCTCCTTTTGAGTTTCGGAATGGACAATTTGTCTACACAATCAATCTTCGGGTTGTGTTACCATTGGCGGCTTGATTTATATTCCGAGAAGAAGAGTGCATATGACGAAAAACCATGTGCGATTTGTTTTTTTTACCACATTTAATAGAACGATTTCACATAACCGGATAAAAAATGCTAATGAGGAACAATTTATGCTAATACACAAAACACGATTTTACACGTGGAACAATGAGGATATTATAAATACTAGGGTTTTGTTTCTTCTACGTGTGTTTTAATTTTCCGAGCTTTCGGACAACTTGTCCATCATCAGGGCAAAATGAAATTACAATGCGTGCGAACCTGTGTGCGTTTAGACAAATGTGACAAGTCTGCATTAGCAGACCATGCTAACCACACAGGACATGATATCGCGTGGCAAGAGTCTTCAATCCTCGCCCAAGAACCTAGATGGATACAAAGACACTGGCTTGAAGCTATAAAGATTTCAAAGAACAAAAACTGCCTTTTTAACAAAAATAGTGGACGAACTCTGCCTGATTCTTATAAAGAACTCTTAACACATTAACTAGTCTTAACATTCTATCCTTTCTATTGTAATCCAATGATTTTTCGTGTAATTCTATGCACGCGCAGTATGTTAATTGATTTGAACCATTGAGCGCTCTTAAGCAGTTATGTTACCATAGTGTTT